CACCGAGGTTTTCAAGTTGTTCCTAATGCAGATGTAATAAGTTCCTAATATTCCCACACCAATCCCACCTCCTAGTGATCTTCTTTCCTTGGTGTCCCCATATCCCCAACCAGCACCAAACCTGCCCTTTCAGCAGGCACATAATGATTTATTCTAGGTTACTTGTTACAATCAAAAGACTAAGGGAATTATCAAATTACTTCAGTAAAAGAACATTTGTGAAATTGTTCTATCTCACCTCAGGGTTGTGGAGCCTTTGTCTGAGAATTTACTAAGCTGTTGGTCACTGGTTGAGCCGTCTATATTACTGTTTTATTGTTGAGTTTAGCTGGCTTCTATGTTACTTTCTCATCGAGTTTAGTGGCTCCAACTGGAATTTCAGTTCTGAGGAATGAGGAGGTGTCATTGAGTCGAGCAATTTAGGATGTGTAGGACTGGGATGAGTCTGAGAGACTCTCAGTGAAGTCCTGGAGTTACACCTTGGTCAGTAGCTGTGGTGGGTCACTGGGGGTGGGTGCGGCTAATGGGGCCAGCAGGGTGGGGACAGGGCCCGTGCCCACATACAGATCCCTCTAGTGCTCAGCTGGGGTCGGTGTGTCCCAGAATTCCAGCTGCTGGGCTGCCCCTCCTGGGAGATTTAGGAGAAATCTGAGGAGCAGGACTGGTGAGTGGGCATGAGGCAGCTGTGGGTGTGGGCGCAGCTGCCTAATATTCATGTCTAAGATTTTATTAAAACTCTCATCCTGTCTGAGATGCCAAGACAAACCTAAAGGATAGATGTGTTCCTCTCAGACCCCACTGCTTTCTAGGACAGAAATATGGCGGTTACTGACAAGCCACGAGACAGAGTCTATGGAGGGTTCAAACCCTGACTCTAGGATTGATGGTTTAGAGTTGGGGCCTGTCAGGATTTGTCCTGGAGCAGACAACCGTTATAGATTATATTTCAACAAATTCCAACACATATCTTAAAATCGTTCTTCAGTCTCTACTTTTCTTTTATCTTCTTAATCACACAAAAGATATCAGACGTCACAACTTTGACTGGAAATCGGTTTGCTTCTGTTCATTCTGTCTGTCGTGTTACCCTAAATTATCCGTGCCTGAGTGTCCTGCTGTGCTCACCCTTGTCACTTTCCATATTGCCACAGTCTGTTGCTGTTCCTGCATCAACTGCCTCTGACAAAGTCTCAAAGTCTTTGTGTCATCTGAGGGGTATTGAAGAAGTATCTAGCAGGAATTCTCTGGCCTGTAGAGGGCCCCTAACCCTACCCCCTCCCAGAGTCAGGCAAACCCTCTCCTGAGTGTGTCCATTTTCCTTCGGACAGTACTGCATTCCTCCGAATGGCTGATCCTCAGGCAGGACACAGGAATCGTGAGCTAGGAAACAGGGGGTGAGATTCAGCGTGCCCCCCTCCTTCTCTGGGGACACCAGTGGAAAGGGTGCGGTACCCATAGCCCTGAGCTTTCCACTGAGGGTGAGAGGGGTCAGTCACTCTCAGGAAGCCCTAACCTGGCTTCTTGTAGGATAATGTTGGTTTGTCATTTCTCCCTGGCCACAGGTAACTTAGGTTTGTTGGGTTACACCATTCACAGTGTTCCCAAGGCACTCCCATTCCTGTATGTTTATCTTTAACATCTTTTTTGTGCTCTCTTCCCCAACCAGTTAATCACCATTTTCCCCTAAGCAGTACCTGTGATTCATGAAGTCAAATTTCTCAGAAATCTCTGATTTCGTATTTGCACCCTGCTTAGGGTTCGAAAAAAATTAAAATGGCCTGAGCACTGGATTCTGAGATCTATAGCTTTTGTATCTCTTACTGTATCCATACAAAATGACCAATATTAAGAAGTAGAATTCAGATGAATGTTTCAATGGTTATTGGACTAAGGAAAGGAGAAACACACCCATAGGTGGTATTCAGCCCTTGAGCAGATCTCCTAGCTGCAGGGGATCAGGAAGGGCTTTCATATGTTGATTGTGCTACCTGGACCTAGGTGTGGTTGCTACCTGCAATGCTCAGAGGTTGGATGCTAGACCTGGGCTGCAAGACAGGAATGAGGGGCAGCGTGAGACTGGAATGGGGAGCTTGGTGATACTGGAACAGGTGGGTGGGGAAAAGGGAATAAAATGGGAACTGATCACCAATGACCTTGGCCCTCTTTCCTCCTTTGTCCGCCCATTGCCATTGACCACCCCAGGAGGATTAAGCGACCGAGACCACCAAATACAGGTGAGAGAGCCGTAGGCTTCGTTTTTTTTTAATTACACAACTTCTGACCAGTTTAAGAGCCCCTAAAGATTCTGCCTTTGAAACCCAAACAGGAAGCACCCCCATTTTCCAGGGGGCAAGGAGCATGGTCAGAGAATAGTGGATCTAAATAGTTCCCTGAAGAACTCTAGACAAGGAGCCCCTTAACCTCCTTCTGCACCTGCTGCTGTGCTGACCCAGAGTGCAAGGTGAGGTAAGGCCCGAGAACCTGCAGACCAGCCCTCTGTCCCCCTGAGGAAGGCGTGTGTCTGGGACCCCACCCACTCCCCACCCTGGGTCCCACACACACAGCCATGTGTTCTTGTGACCTCTGGGCTCAGGGCAGAGAGGACGGTGCCCTTGGTTGTGTCCCTGGGATGGGTCACTGTGGGAGTCGTGTGTAGTCTGAGCTTGAGCAGGACCAAAGGTACCGTCCACTCCTGCCCTTTCCTGGAGGTTGGTGATCTGGCCATGCCACAGGCAGAGGGTTTTCTGAGAACCCAGAGACAGGACAGTGAGGGTGAGAGTCTGTGTGGGCTTCTCTCCTCCTGATCCATCTCTTCCACAGCCGGGGTCAGATTCTGAAGATTTCCGTGGTCAGGGGGAACAGTAGACACCTCGACAGACTGTCCCCCCATGTGAAAACTTCCCAAAGATGCTTACAGCTGTAGCTGTCATCAAGAGAATCTACAGAGAAATTCAGCGTCTGTGGGGCTGAGCTTTGACTCTCAGAGACTGTCCCTGAGGAGGCCCTGCCCTGAGAGCAGAGAGGCTGCATTTCCCAGGATTCCAGTGGATGCACTGTGTGCAGGGAGGGGCAGGAGTTCAAGGCTGGTTGAACTCTGGCTCTGCTGCGATGGGGCGCTGGGTGGATCCTGGTGGACGTGAGATCTGAGTTTCCTCCCCATGGGTCTTTCTTCTAGAGCAGGCTCTGACAGGGCCTCTGAGGACACGGGGCTGTGTCCGTCAGCACAAGAAGACTCTTGCTCTCCAGGGCACTCTGTGAGCACTCTGCAGACACGGTGCGACCTCACCCTGCAGCGGGGCAGCCTCTCCCTCTCCCCTCCCGGCCCGAGTCCCAGCCTCTCCTGGGCCCCTGCTCAGCTTTTCTCTCTCCCATCAGCCCTGGGCACTCTGGGATGATCCTGGATCTGCTGTTTCTCTTTGTCCCAGTATCAGAGTTCACCTCACTCAGCAGGACTGATCAGAGGGCAGGGAGCCCAGTCCACCCGCAGGAGCTTTCCCACCCTTAGCCACTACTGTGCTCAGGATTCGAGCTCCCTGCATGGGGAATTGCCTTCTGCTGTAGATGGTTTCACTGTTCATGTATTGGTTGTAAAATTCCAACAGAATTTGCCATGAATGTGTTCCTCAGCCTTTCAGTTCTTTCCAATGAACTTTCTCCTTTCGTGAAATGGCATGAATGTGTGGATGAAGTTTCCCTTACAATTATAAAACCTTCATTAATTTTTATGAACTACATTTAGTCTAGTCTCAAGTACCATGCTGCTTGCAGGAACTCTAAGTTTCTGTAGTTCTCTTATCCTACATTCAATAAACCAAAAGGAAACTACTATCCACATTATACGGCACAGGTCGAATTAAAAATATTTAGTTTTACAAAAACAACACTTTGTGTTTACTAGGAGGAAGAAGAAGCTGACTACAAATGACACAGCAGGTGTGAATGGTCCTTGGCAATGAGTTGCTGGTAGAAAGTGCACTAACTCTGTAAACCACAGATGGACAGTAAGGCACATGCAACTATATGTACACCAGTTACAACAGATTGAGAACTGAAAAACAAAATTTATTCATATGAAGGGTTGGAGCGATAGCACAGCGAGTAAGGCATTTGCCTTGCATGCTGTCAACATGGGTTTCGATCCATCCTCCCCTCTTGGAGAGCCCGGCAGGCTACCGAGAGTATCTCAACCAGCAAAGCCTGGAAAGATCCCCATGACGTATGCGTTATGCCAAAAACAGTAGCAACAAGTACCACAATTTGTTGACACGTTACTGGTGCCCACTCGAGCAAATAGATGAACAGGAGGACAGTGTTATTCCTCTGAAAAGAATATCTGTTCAGGAACACTGCGAACAACAAAAAGTATTTAGTAATCTTCAAAAAGTGGCATTAAAAATTTATACTAGAGGAGAAAAGTACATATTGATGTATGCCTACTTAAGTTGATGAAATACCTTTTTATGTTTAAATTTTAAAATAAAAATGAAATTCTTTACAACCTACCCCCAGACCCCAGCTTTGTAGACGAGGAGTAGACCACTGCCTGACAGTCACATGCAGCCCTGCAGCTCCCCTGTCTCCCTCAGCAGGTTTGTGTCTGGGCTCACAGGGACTTGCACAATAATACACGGCTGTGTCCTCAGTTACTGAGTTGCTCAGTTTTAGATAAACTTGGTTCTTGAAGGTGTCCCTGGAGATGCTGACTCGGACTTAAAACTTGGGCTATAGTCTGTGCTTTCATCACGCCGTATAACACCAACCCAATCCAGCCCCTTTCCAGGGCCCTGGCGGACCAAGGTTACACCATAACTGGTTACAGAGAATCCACAGACGCACAGACGGAACTTGTGAGAGACAGCGTCTGCGAGGGCATCACCAAGCTTGGTTCTGACTCTTGCAGCTGTACCTGGAACAGGACACTTGGGAACAGACACCCACAGTGAGTCATGGGCTCAGAGGCCCCATTCCCACCTTGGAGCCTCTGTCCAGGGGACACTCACATCCTGGAGCTGCCACCAGAAAGAGGAGGAACCAGTGCTGATGCCTGTTCCTGCCCACGAGGTCCATGATCTCAGACACAGTGTCAGGGGAAGAGGGAGCCCGAATTGGGGTGAGTGTGGATGTGGTTTTAACTCTGGTTTCCAAGTGTGGATTTGCATGGGGGGACCTTTGTAGAGAAAGGAGGGGACCCAGGGGAGGCTGTTGTGTGGGCTTCCTGGGACGATGTGCTGAGTGTTGTTCAGAGCACTCAGGCCTGTCCCTGGGAACCTGTGAGAGCCGGGCCTCTTCCTCCAGCACAGGAAAGGTGCTGAGGAGCTCTCAGGAAACAGGAATTGCTGAGGGGAAATGGCAGGTGGGGAGCTGAGTCCCCGAGTCTCAGGACCATGATGACCAAACTCAGTTGTCCTATAAACAGGCCCCTGGCCCTTCATGTCCCTTCGTGGTGGCTCCCGTTCTCTCTCTGTATGTGCAATATTTGTGGTAGAAATATGGTTGTAGCCAGGTTTATTTTGACAGTGAATTGTGACAGAACTTGGTTCAACTCAAAGTCAGTCAAATATTACAGTCGTTTCTTTTCACACTTACCTGGGATGAAAATTCCTTTTCCTGGAGCAGATTTACCCATAACTATTTATTCAGGGTAGTTGTTAGAACGTGTATGTTCACTGATGATGGGTTTATAGCTGGACAAGAAAAGCCTCTACATGGTGCTTGCCTGGTATGGCTGGCCTGGTAATAGCACCAGATCCTTCTCTATCTGTCTATAACTCATAGACCAGCATGAACCTCAGCAGCCTGTACTGGGTCATCACTGAGGAATCCTGATCCTGTCAGGAGCATAAAAAGATCTTGTTGAGGACTCTCAGCACACAATCTATCGGGCCTGTAACCTGGTCTTAGTGCTGAGACTCACACATTCTATAAGGGCACAATTGTGCTGGCCCTGAGCAGTGCCAGGCATGACCCTCCACCCCCTCCCAGCTGCACAGAACCTATACATAGGCTGTGTCACATATGTGGCCCCCTAATTCCATGAAGGACCAGAAGGTTGAGTTCAATCTAAGGGGCCAGAAATCATGCTCTAAAATTTGATGTTTGAAAAGGTCAGCATTAAGGATCAGAAGCAGTCTACACACTCATTAGGGTCTACAAAATTCTGCCTAAGATATACACAAAGACACAAAAACACCAACTCAGGCAACGTGAGGATGGATGACTACAAACCTCATGTACCAGTGGCTATAGGATTCATATCCACACTCGTGTATAAGCACGTGACTCACGGTGTCTGTCCCCAGGTGTCCTGTCCAGAGCTCCTGCAAGGGCAAGACAGCGAATCCTCACAGACCTGACTCACCTGCGCTGTTTTTGTATCTCCACAGTCAGCAGTTTCCAGGGGAGCTTGGCCCCCAAACCTCAGCAATGACTCTGGGGTGTCTGGGGAATGTTGGGATTATTTCCAAAAGCTGTTGCACCAAGACCAACAGGACACTTTCTTAAAAACTGCTTTAAAAATTGTTAGAAATTCCATAAAGTCTGCACATTGATCTTGCTTACAGTACTGGATCTATGTAACCCTTGCCACAGAACAATGTACTGATCACTCATCCCAATGATTTTTGTTGTCCCAGTAATTCCTCTTTCCCACCCTACCCAGCCTTCCACACGCTGCTAAACCATGCATACAGGTTAGACGAGTCAGATAGACACTGATTAATTGCTGAGGGGTGATCCACTGTATCAACATATTGAGCTTGTTTCTCCACACATGGATGTGCACCTGGAATTTGCTCAGTGCTTGGCTGTTATGAAGACACTCAGTTTCACTCTGTAGATTTGGCGAGGTGAAGACATGTTGATAGCATTATGGAAAAAACATAGGTCACGGGTCACGGTCCTCCCGTTATTCATCGATTTGCTCGAGCAGGCCCAGTAACATCTCCATAGTGAGACTTGTTGTTACTGTGTTTGGCATATTGAATATGTCACAAGTAGCATTTCCAGGATTTGCCGTGCAGTAGCTTGCCAGGCTCTCCAAGACAGGTGGAGGAATTGAACTCGGGTCGGCCATATTGACTGCTTGCAAGGCAAAAGCCTTACCCGCTGTGCTATCGCTCCAGCACATGGAAAAAGCATAACAGAAGAAAATTAGGGAGCAGCTAAGGAACAGGTATCTCTCACTTATCAGAGAATTGAAGTAATGTTGCCAAATTCAAAGTAGAAATGGGACAACTCAGATGCTGTTTTAATTTACTACTGTAAAGCCAAAGACTTTGGTGACTTTGTCCTCTATTCCACATGGTTAGTCCTTAAAGTTTAGACAGGCTCTGTAGCATGTCCTGTTTGCAAGTCATCCTCAACATCCTTGAACAAAGAAATAGCTTGGAAAGTTTTTTAATTGATTTTTTGAAAAACATGTAGGGGGACGAGGTGGACCACACTTGGTGGTAATCAGGGGTTCTTCCTGACTCTGTGCTCAGAGAATCACTGTTGTGGGGCTCCGGGTTTGTGTGTCTGGTGGGGAGAGTGAGGGGTGGCAAATGATATCCATATTGATCAGGCCAAATGCAAGGCAAGGCCCTGCCCACTGTACCATCTCTCTGCCCCCAATAGGCCATTTATTGAACACAAAATCTGCCACACTACCCTGGCACCATGGCTCCAGACACTTGGATCATTGTTTCCTTTAACAAGTGGAAGAGATCGATAGCTTAAGCACAGGACTGGGATATTCACACAGCTGTGGCCTTAGGGTGATTACACATGCAGGGATTATATTTAAAGCATGACACTGTGATGGTAATTTTCTACTCTATTCTTTCCTGGAGCACAGCCCTGAGAGTTTTCTAATCTTGCCTGTCTTTGAATGCCTTTAGATAGTCCCAGAATAATCAGGGGACTATGCCAACAATAGGATTGTTATTAATGGGAAAGTGTTCCACCAGTTGCCCGGAGGTTAGAAGTTCTCCCTGGCATAGGCCCTTGGCCACTAGAGGACTCTACCTGTAGAGAGTTTCCCCAGGTCCCAACTTCTCTGACATTTCTAAGTATAATGTGGATTATTTGGCTTTGATTTGTTGGTGCCCAATGGCTAGAGACTTGGGAAAGAGGAACACTGGTTTCAGCAATATTTCAACCCTGCCTCTGCCTTACAGCATCAAGACCAGCGCTCCAGCTTCTCCAGTCATAACAATCCCCTGCTCTCTCTGCCACCTGCTCTTTCGTGCACACAGGCATTCTCTGTCAGCTCCTATGGATCCTAATAAAATGTCATATGACTAAGGGTCTAGGGCCCATGTAGGCTGCTATGTCTCGGCAATGCTGCACTCAAATCTTTGAACATCTACTGACCAAGACAGATGGACCATATCCTCGTTCCCAGAGTCCCTGTAGTAAGGCAGTAACTGCATTCAGGGAGACGGGGTCTAAGTATTTGATCAATGGCCTTTGCAAGGGGGATGTTTCCCCATCCCACAGAGATGCTTTTCACTTCATGTTAAGGCCTCATCAGGGAAGACAGGGCATGGACAAATTATCTGGGATTTTTGAACTCAACACCTTTGAGAGGAGAGGATTTTCCTGAGACTCTAGAGAGGAAAGAAAACCTGCCCCCAGTGTCAGCCAAAACATTGCCTTTCTTCCTCTCATTTAGAATGTGAGCTGAGGGTCCCTGGAGGAGATGTAGAAGACAGGAACCTGTGTGCTTTGGGCCTCCCCAGAACAGGAAACTGAAAGTCTCCTCCAGGGACTGAGTGAGGGGAACTGAGGTCCTTGTCTGTCCCAAGACACAGGTGGGTGGTAAGACCTGGGTCAGACTAGGAGACTCCCCCACACCTCTGCTCACTAGGGAGCACTTCCTGTCCCAGTGCCCTGTCTGTGTGCAGCTGGGAAAAACATTCTGAGCCCCTGGCACTTGGTGCGGGGCCAGGGAAATTGAAACAGGTTGAAGTCTTGGAGTTCAGGAAATAGGATGCTGTGAGGATTCATAGATTGAAGTCAGGGTTAAAGCCCCTTCCCCCCAAAAAACTCAACTGTGTGGATCAGTTCTCCTATTGGCTGCTCTTAGCCCTTGTTGCTACCATGATGTGGATCCTTTAAGCTCCATATTATCAGACAGCTCCCTCTGTTCATGAAAGCCAACAGATTCAACCCCAGGGAGAGATTTGGATGCAATTATGCTGACTAAAAGAAGCCAGGTTTGGGGGGAGCTGGGGGTCTCCCAAGAATTGCCGAGGCACCAGCTGCCTGTCCTTCTTGGCCAGCATGTCAAGGTTGTTCAGTGACCCGGCCCAGCCCCTAACCCGTGGCTCACACAGGCCACACAAAGCAGCCCGGTTTTTTTTGTTTGTTTTTTGCCTTTTGGGTCACACCCAGCGATACTTAGGGGTTACTCCTGGCTTTGCACTCAGGAATTACTTCTGGTGGTGCTCAGGGAACCATATGAAATGCTAGGAATCAAACCTGGGTCGACCACATGCAAGGCAGCCACCCTACCAACTGTGCTATCGCTCCAGCTGGTAGGGTGTTTGCTTTGCATGCGACCAACCCGAGTTTGATTCCTCCATCACTCTCGGAGAGCCCAGCAAGCTATTGAGAGTATCCTGCCCACATGGCAGAGCCTGGCAAGCTAGCCATGGTGTATTTGATATGCCAAAAACAGTAACAACAAGTTCATAATGGAGATATTACTGGTGCCTGCTCTAGCAAATTGATGAACAACGGGATGACAGTGCTACAGTGCTATTATGAAACAGATCAGTCTGTATCTCTCCCTTTCCTGCTGATTGATTCATTCAGCATGATATCCTCTAATTTTTTTCTATATTGCAGAAAGTTGGATTTTCAACTCAGTAAGCATGGTTAGGCCCGTAGAGGGTAGACAGGATCAGGACTCTTTCTAGGTGTTCCTCATGGATGTGAATTTTATGAGTAAAATGTCTTCAGGGCAATGCCCCAGATTTTCTTCATTCAGTTGGAAGTGTGTACACTAGAAAGTTGGTTGGTCATTTGAGAACGTGGCATTCCCAGTGTCACTTGGACTTGTCCCTACACACAAAGGACAGTTT